TAACATAATATAGACAACTAAGACGATTAATTAACGTTTATTTCATGAAATGAAATTATCCAAAGAATATTTCATTCACACACCCTTGTTAGTCAAAACTAAATGCCCTAGAGTTAGAACAGGTGGGGGCTTTTTTCTTACTGGTTCTGATCTAATCGATCAGACGGGCCAGTATACTGACATGAGTCATTCTTCTTTTTTCTGGCCCTATAATAGTTCAATGAACTCCTGGATTAGTCACATCTGCCTCCCAATCACTATAATAATAGTATAAAAGTCGTTTCACGATTATAGGGCGTCTCACTATTTATTTTTATGTTTTCTCTTTTTTGACATCTGTTGATGAACAGAAAACTTCATAGGACTACAAATTCTACATTAATTTTGCGCTTTGATAAACTAATCTTCAGTCAACGACACTATTTACTAACTATATACCTAATACATACTGTACGTGATATTCGCTTTATCATTTCTTAAGTCCGTGGAAAATACATGCTATAAACACTAGAAAATACAAAAAAAAACAATGTCAAACTACAATGCTAAACAGTTACTCGATTTTTTTTTAATAACACGACCTCATATCAAAGTGAGTTGAGAAAATATACTAACGATACTATGGCGAATTTCGACTTAATAGACTGGTCCGATGCATATTTCCTTACCGATATAGTCTTCGACGTTAGCGGAATGTTTTCCTACAGAAGCCAAGGGAAAACAAACTGATTTCATGACCTCGTGATTTCTGAAATCAAAAAGTGATTTCATTTGATTTCAACTGATTTCATAGCAGTAGGAATGCACCACTCCAATCGCAACTCAGTCACTGGGCAGCACAATAGATGCTACTATTAAACTCTAATAGGGTTTCTGTTTCAAGAAGACATTGTTTCCAAAGAAAGAGGGTAGGTGGGTATTTAATAAACAGGAATTCGTGGCCTAGAAGCTGTATAGAGGTGTATAAGAGAGTATAGAGAGTATAGGGAGTATAAATGAGTATAGTGTTTTACCAAAAAATGACAAGCAAATCCAATATCTTCCTCACAAGAAAACAAGAGGTATGAGAGGTATAACTTTGGTCCGCATAATCAACCTTTTATATCAGCGTCGCGGCATGGGGGCGCGTAGTATCCCCCGAAGAGCCGCGACCCATACTCGTCTCTGTGTACACAACAAAGTCTATCTCTATACCTCTTATACTTCTATATCTCTATGGCTATATAGTCTTATAGCTCTATACCTTCATACAGCATACTTCCTATACTCTTAATGCTCCTTATACTCCCTCATACTCCCTATTCTCCTTATACCCCCTTATACTCCCTATACTTCTTATACTCCCCGTGCCCCTACACGCTTATATTTCTTTTAGGTCTTGTACATTTTATACTACAAAACGAGAGAGAGAGAAAACTAGACGAAAGAAACGGAATTAGAAATGTATACCTAAACAGAAAAAATACTCATGTTGCTGTATCTTGTATTTTGTCTCTATCATTTGTCACATTGTCTAGTTAAGCAGCGTACGTTTTAATTTTAAATACCTATCATTTATAGATTCATATATATTCGTATTTTATATAAGACATAAATATTAGAACAAGTTTTACAATTTTCTGAATAATATTTAAATTTCAGATTCTTTTTCTTCAAGATTGCCCTGTCTATATTCTTGATTTCGAGACAAAGACCATTGCAACATCTATATACATCATACGTGATTATTTAAAGAGTTTGAGAGCAAATAGCAATTCAAGTGTAATTCGAATTTGACCAACAAGTGTCTAATATAATACTAAGTAGAATGTTCTACTGGCTTTTATTTGTGCTTTTGTTCACTTTTCAAGTATCAGCCACGACGTTTCAATTTCATCTCTATCATACAGATCGTGTAAGTAGCAATTCGTTGGATCACGACTGTTTGTTATACGATATACGTTCTATCATTCAATATTCTCCAACTTCTCAAGATAAAAATTCTAATCAATATCAAATAATTCCTTACTGTATACGTCCATTTGGTTTGCCATCCAGCTTTTTAGTGAATAATGACAAACGTGTCATTCATGGGACATCAATTGCATTCGAAGTATTACAAAAAGAAAATATAACAAGTCAACAATTATATTTATTATCTGCACCTATTGACGTTGTTGAACGATATCAAGAATTTCTCGAAAAGCCAAATTCATCTTTATCAACACAAGTATTTAACAATTGTTCAAAACCATGGTTCGGTGAATATTGTCAATATTCATTTAATTTGACATGGTTTTTCGATGGGATTCTATGGGCTTATTTCATGCATCCTAAACAAGAAATAAATAATGTATTCAAGAACGGAACATGTTATACACTCATAGAATGTAATCGAGGTCCATCACCATCTTGCCTCGACTGGCGTGAAATATGCGATGGAAAAATCGATTGTTTGGATGTTGGTCAAGATGAAATCGGTTGTGACATGTTACATATAAATGAATGCAAAGAGAATGAGTTTCGTTGTAGCAATGGATTTTGCATTCCAAAAGAATTTTTCAATGATGATTCTTCGAATCCAGATTGCATCGATCGTTCGGATGAAAAGTATGACAATATGGAGGATAACCTGTTAGGACAACCTGTGTGCGAGACAGATCCGACTTTCCGCTGTGAAGAAACAACATGTCGAAATGAACATTTTCTATCATGTGGTAATGGCCAATGTACTATGCATAAATGTAGTAGCAGTCGTGAGATTCAATTAAAAAAAGCAAAATTATCTCAAGATGCAAATTCTCATTTATTATTCAATTGTTGGAGAAGTTTGATTTGTTTGACAATTCCATTTTTTGATCGTCAAAATCTCTTTGGTGAAGTGGAATGTGGACAAGAAAATAAGAATGAAAATCTCTTTCGAGAAAGCTGTTCGGCACTTTTCTTCTTTCCTGCTCAGCCAATAATGCTGAATCATGTTCGCTTTGCCTATGCAAATAATCTAACAAATGTATATGATGATGAGTTCGGTATTCTTTTACCTCATTATATATGTTACGATCAAGAATTTTGCCAATGGATTCCAGCTACTATATTGATTCATGGTTTAACTTGCCGACATTCCTCTGAGTTCGATACAGGTGAAACATTGAAAGAGCAATCAAATACCTTCGAGAGTCGCATATTAAACTTTTTTCTCAAATGTTCGACCACAACAACTAATTATGTTAAGTGTCCAAAGTCAAAACCATTTCGATGTGCAAATTCATCAAAATGCATCGCTTTGAATCGACTTCTTGATGGTTTTCCCGATTGTTTTCAAGAAGATGACGAACAAATCACAAATAGTTGTTCGTTACCGGATATTGATTATCGTTTTCGATGTACCTCGGAGAAGAAATGTGTCCCTATGACTAGTACTAATAAGTTGAAACAGATGTGTATCGGTGGAGAAGATGCGTCTAAACTTATGCCTGGTTTAAATCCAATGATTTTTCATCTGTCATTCACAATACTTTGCGATGGTTTTATCGACCATACCAGAATGGATGGGCTTAACTACACAGATGAAATGGACTGTGAAGAAAATTGGCCTTGTAACAATGCATATACACGATGTAATGGAAAATGGAATTGTCGCAATGCAATCGATGAAGCTAACTGTCCTTATAATCCATGTCGTCCAAATGGTCATCCTTGTATATTGCCATTTAGTCACAATTTTACTTGTTTACCTCTCTCGCGAATCAATGACGGTCATATTGATTGCGTAGGTGGTTATGATGAACAAGATCGATGTGAACGAAAGTTGGGATCATTTATCAGTAAAACGTATCGTTGCTTCAACGAGACACAGTGCGTTTATATGTATGAGATGTGTAGTTCAAACGTACAACATTGTTCATCAGGAGATGACCAAGATCTATGGTGTAGAAAGTTAAATTTATCATATTTTTCAGATTATAAGAATATTTATCAACAACCACGCGATTTCGATTATGACTTCTATTGGTTTCAACTAAATTCTGGTCTTCGGAAAGATTCTTTTGTCTATTTTACATTGAAAAATCATCTCCTCTATCCTCCCGCTATTGAGACAATTACCAACGAGTATAATTCTATCGCAGCAACAACTGTAGAAACTGTTCATTCTAATCCATTTGATTTCAATTGGCATTTGGAATCGAGGAATCATGGCTTAAGTTCAATTTGTAATCGTGGAATTCTTATTTATGTCAATAATTTCTCAGAAAACTCTTGTTTATGTCCGCCAGCCTATTTCGGATATCGATGCGAATATCAAAATCAACGAATTAGTCTTACATTACAGTTTCTAACAGTTGAATTGCGAACAATATTCAATTTTGTTATTATGCTTATTGATGAAAATACAAACATTCATTCTTCGGAACAAATTGATTATGTATTCGTACGTGATTGTCGGAAAAAATTCAATTTCTATTTTCTCTATTCGACACGACCAAAAAATATCAATCGAACTTATTATGTACGTATTGATACATATAATAAAGAAAAAATGGAATATTATGTTAGTATGATCTATCCTATTCAATATTCATTCTTACCAGTACATCGTCTTTCATTACAAGTCAATGTTCCGGTACCAGAAGTTAGAACCAAATCGAAAACTTGTCCTTTGAAATGTGTGCATGGACAATGTAGACATTATTCTAATTCCGATCAATACTTCTGTCAATGTTCTGAAGGCTATTCTGGAATTTTATGTGGAATAGAGAATTCATGTAATTGTTCATCAGGTTCGATTTGTATTGGAGTTGTAAACAATCGATCAATATGTGTTTGTCCTCTTGATAAATTTGGACCACGTTGTTATTTGAAAAGGACAATTTGCGTTTCGAATCCGTGTTCTAATAATAGTCGATGCATTCCTGGTGATGAGAAAAATGCCGAAATGGAATACTTTTGTCTTTGTTCTCAAGGTTACATGGGTTCAAGATGTGAAAATCTCGAGTCAAAAATCGAATTTCATTTTTCTAAAACTATATTCATTCCACAAACAATTTTCATTCATTTTGTCTATATTCCACCAATACCTAATATATCTGATAATCTACCTCCTCCTCCTGATCCAACACAGATAACTATGATGTTGAAATTAAAGTTTCATGAAAGTTCGACTATTGTTTATTATGGAGGAGCATTTCATCTAGTATTTGTAGAATTTCATCAACAGTATTATCTTGCTTTACTTCAACATAATTTTATATCAGCAATGAATATTTCAACGACAATTATTCCTGAACATCGATGTTTATCAACCAAAGACTTATTCACTGATGATATTCGAGCCTTACCACGATGGCATCGTGCTAAAAAATATCATATTCCATGCCAAAAATATCCAAACCTTACATGTTTCTATGACAGTGATTACTTTATGTGTCTATGTGACATTGATCGATATCCAAATTGTTTCAAATTTGACTATCCTTCTACTTATAATTGTTTAGGATATAATTATTGTGAAAATAATGGTCAATGTTTTCAAGACCATAATACTTGTCCAACATCATCGGCATGTTTGTGCAAAGAATGTTATTATGGTAGTCGATGTCAATTTATTACAACAGGATTTGGCCTATCACTCGATGATATTCTTGGCTATAATATTTGGCCAAATGTTTCTTTCTTACGACAACCGACTGTAGTGAAAATCACCACAGCCTTTACAGTACTGATGTTCATTATTGCTATTATCAATGGTATTTTATCTATCATCACTTTTAAAACGAAGCGAACACTTGAAATAGGTACCGGTGTATATCTACTTGCTTCATCAATCACATCGCTTATAACAATGACATTATTTACTCTCAAATTTTTCTTACTTGTCTTTTCTCAAATGTCAATAATTACTAATTATTCTTTTCTTTTATCGCATTGTATATGCACAGACATACTTTTGAAAGCATTTTCGGCAATTGGAGAATGGTTAAATGCTTGTGTAAGTATTGAACGAATATTTACTATTCGACTTGGAATCAAATTCAATAAAGTAAGAAGTAAAAAAGTTGCTAAAAGAGTGATCTTCGGATTATATCTTTTCATCTTGGCAAGTTTTCTTCATGATCCTTTAAATCGTCATTTACTTGAAGATTCAGAAGAACGACGTACATGGTGTGTAGTTCGTTACTCATCATCTGTAGCACGTTACGCATCATTTATCAATTTCTTTCATTTTCTTCTACCTCTTTGTATTAATGTCATCTCTGTTCTATTCATGATTGTCCTAATAGCGCGAAGAAAATCGAAAACGAACCAAGCACAAACATATAGAAAACATCTATGGAAACAATTTCGTCGACACAAACATCGATTATTAAGTTCTTTCGTTTTAGTTATCCTTGGTATGCCACGTCTAATCACTTCACTTGTTTCTAAGTGTATGAAATCAGCCCGAAATCCTTGGCTATATCTTAGTGCTTATTTTATTTCATTCATTCCACCATTACTTTTATTCATACTCTACATTTTACCGTCTAAATTCTATAAAAAAGAGTTCAATACCGCTACTATTCGTATTATAAGAACTATTGAAAACCGATTTCCTCGCAAATAAATATCATAACCGAAAATGAATAATCTTTTACATATTCTAATTCGAAAATAAACTTGCAAACAGTATGCTTGTGTTGTATTTGCATTATTCTGTGCTTTGTTTCAATTTTACTTCAAGAAAATAAACAGTTCTTTTTCATGTCTACATATGGTTATCAAGTTTTTACAAGTCATACATCGGTGATAGAACTCAGCATGACCGTGATTGACTCTTGGTCACGAGAGTCACGAGGGTGTGAGTGTGGGTGGGCGTTAAGAAGATAAATTATTATCGTTGTGGAAAATGTCGATGAGGATGTATCAAAGTAAAGTTAAGATCATTATTTCAGCTCTGTTCAAGAATCGTATGAGATAATTTAAGAACTTGTAATGAATGTAATGATCTGAATATCATTTTGAGTAATTACTAAGATTAAAACTAGCTGATTAAATCGTGCAGCAAGATTAAAGTTGGTCGTAGTTCGCTTCTGAAAACACACTATGATCTTTAGTTTCTTTTAAATGTTTTTAGTGAATTAGAAAATATCTCATTCGAATAGAATTCCAATGAAACATACAATCGATATGTTCTGTTTTGTTTTGCTTTTTTCCTATGAAAAGATGTTGTATTGTGACATATATTAATTATTGAATAGCCCTAGTTCACTATTTTCTATGATAGAATAGATGATAATTTCTATATATTACTTAGATCATGAAATTCTATGTTTTTTGCTGATCTTGTTTTATTTATAGGACAAAAAAAAGAGATTTGCCAACAAATATTGTATGACTTTATAATAGTAATCAATGAATTAATGGGTGCAGGTGTGAGAGGATAGTGGTACTCTTTTCGCTGATATCGACACTCACATTCCAATGAATAATCAAACGATAGTACCAAACAACCGAAAAGGAACCCATGTGACGTATTTTTCCTCCAGCTACTGTGCTGCGCTCAATCGAATACATGAGAACAGTTAACGTCCATCGATGGCAAACCTCAAAAAACTCAAGTCTTGAATAATGTGAGTGTTAGAGTTCTCGATATAGCCACATTGATTAATCTATGAAAAGCTAGGAGTTCTCATACTTTCTGCTACATATCGATGTATCTCTCATCATTCTTCATTTTTCGAACTAGTTTCCGTTGTATATCTCTGTAATTTATGCAACAGTAGTAAAACCTATTCACTCAATACTCTATAACTACGAGATCAATTTGACTAAGCACTGTATATATTATTACTGTAGAACAGCTCACAGTACTTAGGGATGATTGTATGAATAATAGTTCTCATAGCATGCTCACCTGCATACATCTCTTACACATCTACATTTGCTTTGAAATCTTGTATCAGGTTCATTTTTGATAATAGACAAATCGAAGTAGGTACAATAGTTTAATATTGAATAATTGTTCATCAGATTAATTATTATTTCAGATGATTTTTATATTCATTTTCATTTTACTTATTTTGAATACACAAATTCATGAAAAGATTTTTATTAAGTGATAATGAAATAAGGATAGAGGTTATAAAACAGATAAGAAATAAATAAGATTTGACCAAAGAAGCAATGAAGAGACAGAAAGAGTTTAATAACAATGAAAACTTGGTTCATATGTTTGTTGAATGTTAACCTCTTGGTTGAATTCGATTGAAACAACAAGATCCAATACGTTTAAGTGCTACACGATATACTGATCCAGTGAGTGTGTACAAATAAAAAGAAGTTGAATGTGTGACACAGATAAGCAGTACAATCAAAGAATATGGCAAGTTTTCGATCGCCACATGATATCTACTTTTAGGAAGATTCGATGTTAGACTGACATACGAACGATAAATTCCAAATGGTAAATCCAGAAGAAGAACAATCAATACCTAAAAAAATTCATTCAACAATATTTTGATAATCAATCTGCAATTAAAATATGTTCAAGATTGGTTAACTGTAAAAGTAATTTCAATTAGCAGGTACTAACAAGTATCAAGAAGATCTTTTTTTGTTATTTGTGTTTTTTTTTACTCTTAATATTGACTGAGTATTAATTACAAGATTCAAGAGACAAAATAGTAGATGATCAACTGATATACGTTGTGAACATTACAAAATGATTGTAAATAAAGTTGGAAAAAACGTAACATCTGCCTGAACTAATAACATTCGAGTGAGATTGAGATCACTATTTTGCATCGGTAATCTGTCATGGTTTGTGTTGTTTGAATTAATTAAATTCGCTACTGGTTGAACAACTCTTAATCGAACATTACGAATAGTTAATGAACCAAAAATAGCTAAAAAAATGCTAGGCAAAATGATATCGAACGATAAAGCTGCCCAAGCATTAAAGAGTCGACAAGGAGTATTGCAACCATAGCAAGCGACTGAAACATTAGGAACACTTGCTTCGAAAGAATAGATCACTTCGATAAATAGAAATGCAAACAAAATGAAAATGCCAACCAAAAAACGTCTTGCCGTTTGACGTGTACTCTATCGGCGATAAATAACTGAGTGATGACTATACAAGAATCGATCAATATTTGCTCCAACAAGACACCAAATACCCATCGCCCAAGTAATATTGAGAAAATACAGACGAATTTTACACGTAGGTTGATTTTCGTTTGGCCAAATAACGTCATAACTAAAATTTAGTTTAACCCTTTCGAGGCGATTCGGTTTTCACAGAAAATAACTTTACCACATTCATCTTCATGTCTATTCACTCTCGATAAATGCACTCGTTGGACTTTTCAGTATATACAGCCATTCATTTCTCTTTTTCTTGTTTATACCATTACACAGTGATCTTGTTCCACGTAGAACTGAATAGTTACTCAAGTTTGCTTTTCTCTTTCTCTCATATGTATTTGCACTAGGAACAATATAGAGAAACAAAATATCAATCTGTTTTTGTTTTCTTTTCGAAGCATCATTATTTGATTCTTTCTGTTATGATCTACATCTCCTATACGTGCAATTAGAAGACATATTCTTCTTATTTTCATCATTGAGCATTCTCCAGTGGAAGAAAACAAGGTATAGATTTATCTGATTAGCTATCAGCATACTATACATGCCTTCGGCGATCCGTAAAATGATATCAATAGGTGACATCTGAATTGATATTTGGAACGGCAATAGTTAACGCCTAGTTGATTTACAAGGAAAATTATGACACAAGCCATGTGACCATGCTACGGTTTTGTGAATCTTGTACGATCATTACGTCTTAGTACGTTATTCGAGACGCTGAAACTTGGTATGAAGCAACAATCAACAAGTAATTCGAAGTGTAAACTAGCTGATCATAAGCTTGCAGAAAAAGAAGAATCTGCGCGCAATGTTCGCAGACACTGTAGACTGCTATGAGAAAGAAAAGGAACCACAATCAAGAGAAAAGAGCTATGTGGCAGCAAAGAAAATAAAAATCTTTTGTTCTGACTGTAATTAATTCTTTTATCTTGATTGTTTTAATAAGAAATATCATGCTATATGGAATAAAAGAATCAAAAAAAAATATCCAGGACAGAGCAGAATTCACACTGTGTTTAACCTCCTGCCTAAGAAAAAAGCAAAAGAAAGTGCTTTTCTATACAATTTCTCGTTAAACTATAGCGTCGCCCACCGGTGGGCGACATCGTCTCGAAAGGGTTAATTGATCGTCAATAAATGTTTATGTAGTTTATCCTTTGAGATAGCGATGAAATTCTAATTCGATATTTTTTCGATCAGAACAAGACTATGTTTCGAAAATAAGGATTTCTTAAAAACCTTGGCTGAAAGATTGGGGGATCCAAGGATTCGAAACTATACGTGATTTATCGAAATTGTCGAGTTCGATTTTTTTCGATTAGTTAAGTCCATTTCATGATGATAGTTAACTTTTATAAAACGAGGTTAAAATCTCTCGTCTTCAAAAACAATTCAACTCGAGAGTTTCGAAAAACCACTTACAGAATCGGATTCTATGACCTCGAGAGCGTCAAGTCAAGTTTTATGACAAAATATTATTTTCGAAAAATAGTCTTGTCGTAATCGAAAATGTACTGATGTACAGGGAAATACTTCGAAATCTCCGATTCATCCTTGAAATATTTTCCATTGAAACTTATTGAACTCAGAAAAAAAATCTTTATCGTATTCCTCATGTTTAGAACTACAGCAACAACAACAACAAAAGCTCCCAGTAAGTTCAATAATTTTGTTTTTTTTTCTTTTGCATTTGAGATTGTCGAAATATATTTAGACAAAGGTATTCATTGGTTGCTGATTTTTGGTTTATCATTATTGGGTCTTCTTCTTGCACTATGTTGTTGTTTGTGTTGCTTATATTATTGTTTATGATAAGTCAGTAAGCAATTTTAATAGAAGTTCGATTAAAAAAACAAATCTAATCTTCATATTGTAAACAAAGGTTTTTTTAATGATTTGTGTGTCTAGGGGTGGAGCTGCTCGACGTCGTCGAAAAAAAAACACTGATGATAGAGGAAATCAACAGCGACATAGTTACTTTGTCTTCTATGACAAACATAAAGGAACAATAGATTTGTCAAAAAATCGAATCAATCAATTCACAAAGAATTTCAATCGGATTTCATCGATTGATCAAAACCAAACAAATACACGTGTGTCCAGAGTGTATCAACAAGATCTACCAGTTCAAACTGGAAATTCAAATATTAAAGTTTCACAGCAAGAAATTAATGATGATGTTCCGATCAATCGACAATTTTCTGCAACTGTTTCTCGAGTGAAACGAGACGAAAATTTTCAAGAATACAAAAATACTCAAAAGAAAAACTCTCAAAATACTGATGAACTTAATTCTGTGAATAAATATTCAAACTTAACTAAGACGACGCAAGTCAATGTTATTAAACTACCACGGAGAAGTCTAGCATCACTAGAACAGACTGTCGAAATGATCAAACTTATCGAAATTCAGAACCTAATTTAATACGACCAAGAAATTTCGGTTCTATTAGCGTAACTACGATCAATTCAAATCAATTAACATTAACAAATCATTCGGCAAACAAATCTACAGTAGTGAACGATCAAAATAATCGATACCACAATATTACTGTTAGTAAACTTGAGAAAAAACCAGCAGAAACATAACAACACCACAAAAAAAAGTATTAAATAATTAGATTAATCAGGATGATTGTCAATATAAAATGATGAACATTGACTTTTTCTTGATATTTGTATTATTGATATGTTTTCGAATTGTTTATTTAAGCAAGCGACATTAGATCAATAATATACTTTTTTCATTAAATATCTTTTAATTTGAGTAAGAGTTTCTGTCTTGTAAAGAGGTTGCTTTGTTTTGTTAAATAGAATTCTATTGATTGAATTCTTTCATGATCAAATTCTATGAATACTACATGTTACTTTCCACCATAAACTCAACAGTAATCACGATTCAAAGGTGTGAATTAATTGAGGAATGTGATCCACACCTATATCCTCAAGTTTATCAAACTAATTTTATTATGATCCTATCTATTTCTAGTTATAATATTAGCTTAACTGCTTGCACAAGTTGGTTAAAAATACTTTTTTTTTATTACGAAGAAGTGTTTCGTATACTCGGATAAAAGTTGTCCACAGACGATAGAGACATCTCTCATTGCATCAAATCAAAGAGATGTGTTCTTCATTCTCAATGATAATTTTGTTGCTTAGTTAGACCTTATATTGACTTGAAACGTGGTTGAGCAAATCATGTAGTAGTACTCTGAGCCACTGTATGTTTGATTTTAGATGATCCGGTCGACTAGTTCCTCAATAATCAGCTTAGAAGACTTGCCTGATGAAATTCTTCTATTAATCTATCGTTATTTATCATCAATCGATATTCTTTATTCATTTTATGGATTAAACACTCGATTAAATGAAACAATTAGTGAAATCTATTGTCATTTATTTTTAGGAGACGTTTCATATAAACGATTCAGATATATCTGTTCATCAATTATTCCTCAAATAGGATATAATGTATGTTCATTAATTGTAAGTGATCGGTCAACAGAAAAATTATCAAAAATATTTCTTGAATATTTTGATGGACGAATTTCTTTAATCTTTCCAAAATTGAAATGTCTAACATTTCTAGAAGTAACTACTGATGTATTGTTATCATTTATTGATAATTTAACTAATTTGAAAGATCTAATTCAATTGAATATTTATTCTTTAAATCGAAACAATATCGATACAGATGGAATACAAATATTATTAAATAAAATATTTTCCGCTAATAATTCTCGATTAAATACAATTTGTTATGATCATCAATCGATACCTTTAACAGTTATTGATCAAAATAATCATTTATTATATTCAAATATAAAAAAATTAGAAATTTTTCTTGAAAGATTACACGATCTTCATCATTTATTAACTCGTTTACCACAAATTGAAATATTTCATGTTGGTCTTCAGTATGAATCATCGGAATTTAACCATACAAAAGAATATTCTCCTGTTGAAAGTCTTATTGAATTAAATTTAATATCATTAGGATATTCATTTAATTTTAATGAACTTGCATCTATATTAAATCGAACAAAAAAAATTGAAAAACTTTCAATTAAAATTGATAATACAGATGATTTACATTTAATTAGTGGAAATTATTTTAATTCTTTTTTATCATCTTTTCATTTAAAACAATTTAATTATTTAGTTAAATATATATCAAATTCTTCTATTAATCAAAAAGAAATTCTTTCAACATGGAAACAATTTTCTCAACAATTCGATTGTCTTATAGATGATGATCAAAATAATATCATTTTATATAGTATACCTATTCATTTTTCACATATCGGGATTTCGACTAGATTCTTTACCAATATATCTTCTATCAATAATCATTTTCATAAAATTCAATCTTTACGTTTATATGGAGTACCACATATCATATCTGAAATATTTCCAATATTAACAAAATGTAAAAAAATTAAATATTTAGATTTCAATGGTGGAGATGATGACATTGTTTTAAGTTATTGAAAAATGAAATCTATGCCATTTTATCTTGTTTTTAAGAATTGAGAAAAGAAAATCATCTATGTAAACTTGTTCATCTTACTCATTTGTTATTGTTACGATCATCAGTTGACATAAAATCTTTTCAAGAATTACTTCAATCATCACCTAATCTATTTGATTTAAATATACATTCAAAACCACTTCATTCATTACTCGATCAACAATCGATTTGTCATATATTAGGACAGCAAATTACTAATTTATATATTTATATAATATATTCTGATCATATCGAACAAATAACAACATCTCTATCTCGTCTTTCATCAATATTCAAATGTTTAAAACATCTTTATATAAATATAAATATGAATGATACGATCTCCGAATCATTAATCTTATCTATATTCAATCAATTAACTCAATGGTCTTGTCTTGTATCACTCGAAATATTTGGTTTGTCAGAAAAATTCCAAGAAAGTATTCGTCATTGGTTTCTTAACAATTCTCAATTCAATGAGTCGAAATCATTTCTAAGTGAATATACTAAACGAAGATTTCAATTATGGCTTTGACTTTAATTTTTAAAATGGAATACTTTTATTTTTCACTTCAACATTCAAAATTTCAACGTAAAAATTATTTTATTTTATGTTCACACTTTTACAGAAAATATTTTACATTTATAATAATATGCAAAAAATGCTTTTCAATTTTTTTCGATGCAGTTATTGAATGGCAACTTAATAATATATTATATGAAGATCGAAAGACATATCTCTCTCTGCAGCTAAATAATATATAATGTATACAATCTGAACAAGTTCTTTTTTGAAAATATGATGATCGTCAATTAAAGTAATATTGGTTGATTAATTTGTCTTGAATACATGGAATGACGAAAATTTGTTATCATAGTGGCTGAAGATGAAGATAATGTTTGTTTTTTAATGCTCCTTTTCTTTCTTCTAATGATCGTAATTGATCATATATTTGAAACCATTTTTAATGTGATCAATTATTAAACTTAGACGATATTTACAGACTTTGTCATAAAGATTTTCTAAATCTAATAAAAATGAATCTTCAATATATAATTCTTGATGAATAATTTTTAATTATTCTAAATATTAAAAATTAGCTGCATTTATTCCATAAGCTGGACCTACTTTATTTGGTTGTTCTTCTATTATTAATTGTTTATTTAAATGAAAAAGACTTTTTATATTAACAATACATGTCAATACATATTCAGTTGTAAGTCCATCTGGTATTAGAATCTCAAGAAAATCATATGCATAAATATCCATAATAGTGGGTGTATTCTTCTTTACATACACATCCACACCCACCCATAGTGAGGCATGATTATATGCCGCAATCAACAGCTTTTAGCTAATGGTGGTATTCATATACTTCAAATATTATTTTCAGAAGAATTATCCGAAGAATGCTTGGTCCAACCAAAGCGTACTTTGTCACTGTGAAAATCAAGGTCGAGGCTCATTGTATTTACACATTCTCATTTGACTCTATCTTAACCTAGCGCCATCATAACTGAGGAAATCTATCCAAGAAGAGACATTCCAAAATCGTCTCATAAGCTATCGGGAGGATCTCAACAAATTCATTAGCGATAACTCGAACACAAATGATAAAAACGATTTTTTTTTATTATTTTTCTGTATAATTAATGTGAGAAGGTTGCAATAGTCGACCGATAACAGCGCGTATGTGTAGATAAAATTACTGTTAGTCATTGGAAATTTTTAGCCGAAGAAATTTCATTTTGCCAGTTCTGCTTCAATGAGTCGAACACATTGACCAATTCCATCTTCATTCTTAATCAATTCACTTATTTTTTTCGCATTCATTTGATACATGCTGTAGTTACGATTGATAAGATCATGAATAGCATTGGTCAAATTTTTCACATTGGTCTTAGCCATTGGAATATGTCTTGGTCCTAATTTGTTGATAAATATTCGATCGCCATTAAATGGTTGATCAACTACAAAAGATAATATTAATGTGGGTAAGCCATATCGTAGACTTGCATGCGTAGTGCCGGCACCTCCATGATGAATCACTGCCGACACATTCAAAAATAACCAACTATGGGGTATAATTTGTTTTAAATAGAATATATTATCAGTATTGGATAAGTTATTGATGTCGGTTTGTTGATAACCAACAAGTGATATAACTGCTTTACAATTATTGTTTTTAAGAGCCGCTTGAATATTATTTAGAAATTGTATTTGTTCATTATTTCCGAGCATTGCACCCATCATTGATCCAAGACCAACAAAGATGATCTTTTCGCTTTTCCATTTATTGAAAAAGTCGAGAAGAGTAGGTGATGGTTCGAAATTATGTTGATCCTCGTCGAGAATTGGACCGACTATATGATCATTTTCTTGCCAATCGGTCGGACGTGCAATTAAATGTTTGGAATAGATTGTTGCAGTTGTCATTGGCTTCTTCATGGTGGCTTGAATCATCTGATAATAATTGAATGTAAGTGGTGGTAAATTGATACTGCTACGAAGTTCATTGAGTTTTTCACGGTAACAGGAAATGTTAATATATTCAGATACTTTCCATTTCAGTGAATTGATACAATTAAGCAAACTTACGCTTTTTTCGCCGATACCAGGTGGAGAAAATTCAGCTGTCGGTATTAGAGGAAAGGTGTAGATTCCGATTGCTTTTATGTTCGGACATTTTTCAATGCAACTCAGTCCAACGAAAAGAGATCCAATCGATAGAACAATCAAATCAGCATCTTTCACACCAAATCTGATCCCATTGAACCATTCTTCTATTAATGGACTAAATAAACGTTTGAATACGCCCATTTTAAATATAGATGGATTTCGTTGTAGTTCAATTCCAGCGGATGTTGTTTTTAAAGCAATTTCTAAATCACCACCAAGTTCCACTGTATCAATACCTGTATAATAAACACAAGTCTTCTCAATCGATCAAAATGAAATTCTTCATGTAATTATTCTACGAACAAGAACTGTTTCAAAAGTAATCGTTGTTTGATTACCAAAACCTAATGGAACAAAGACTTCAAACGAGTTTTATTCTCTCATTCTATTCGGCACATTCGCTGTGTCCAACAGAGTTTTAGGACAGATATTTGTTTCTGTTTAAAAGTACAACCACTTGTTCAAGATGAATCTATATACAGCTAGTATTGTGTCAATAACACAAATAAGAATATGTTTCCATTCAAATTCACTTGTTCTCAAAAATAAAAGTTCAAGAGCTTGAGTTTTTTGTAGATATATGTATCTTTCGTAGTTCTACTACTAACTTTCGCGTTGAAAAAGTCTGCTGCTATAATCTTGTCAAAAGAATTCGATGAAAGAACTGTGCATATTTTTCATGTATGCATGTGCGAATGAAACGATGAGTTGTTGTCAAGTTTCTCTTGGTCACGTTTCGACTTCGATTTGAATTCTTTGGTGGTTGTTAATAGTTCCCCCTTAAAATATCCAATTTTTCGAAAAAATATCAAAGGTGAGTTTTTATCAAAAGAAGATGCGCCGAAGTTTTCTCTTTCAAAATATATATAGCTTTTCGCAAAATGACTAGATTTTCACAGACTTAGTTGAAGAAGACTTACTCCATACTAGCTACAATCTTGGACAAAAGTACCTGCCATTCTGAACTGGTATCACTTCTTATTATATTGAGTTGATATTTTAGCTGCAGACTAGTTTCAATGAACCTTGATCGCAAGCACCTTGCTGCCCTCAATTGGTTGACCAACGCTGAAATTACTAGTTCAACATTGTCATCACATTGTGAAAGTCATATCTTAGTCATTTTTTGACATTAGTGTTCGCGTAATCCCCAATTCGTAAGTCCAATGATGCGGCTATCTACAGTATAAATTTGATTAAACAGTACCTTGAAATAATGAAGATCTGAAATTTGAATTGAAAATTTCCATCAAATAGTAGACCACAGTTTCCAGTCTGACGTCCATAACTCGAGCTGGACTCGACCAATTCAGTTGAAAATTTTAAAAATAAGTTCTCATAAACATTCAAGTCTGTGATAAAATTTCAGAGCTGTATCTCAATGTAGAGTTGAGATAGAGATGCGACGAGCTTTGAACCAAGCAACTAGGTAAACTGGGCTGCAACTAGCACCAAGATAGATACGAATAAATTATCGGAGGACGAAGCAGCGAACGAAAATTTTTTAAGATCGCACTTCTCTTCGACTTCTTCAACAAACAACTTACGGTGCATATATGCACGAGGTACTTCTTTATTACTAAGAGTTTCACTCCAAAATCATTTTGCTGACGTCATAACATTTCTGCTTCATAGAATTAGGCTCGTGTGCACGTTCTCTCGATCGTTCTGACCAAAAAAGAGCATTTCCTAAAAGACGAGCGTAAATTCACTAGTATGCGAGAGTTCCACGTACACGAATGCACTACTGGTGGTTTTTGAAGAAATCGAAGAGAAATGCGATCTTAAAAAATTTTCGTTCGCTGCTTCGTCCTCCGATAATTTATTCGTAATTATTTTGGTGCTAACTGTAGCCCAATATATCTAGTTGCTTGGTTCAAAGCTCGTCGCATCTCTATTTCAACTCTACATTGAGATACAGCTCTGAAAATTTTATCACAGACGTGTATACTTATGAAAACTTATTTTTAAAATTTTCAACTGAATTGGTCGAGTCCAGCTCGAGTTATAAATATCAGACTGGAAACTATGGTCTACTATTTGATGGAAATTTTCAATTCAAATTTCAGATCTTCATTATTTCAAGATACTGTTTAACCAAATTTTTACTGTAGATAGTTGCATCATTGGACTTATGGATTGGGGGTTACGCGAACACCAATGCCAAAAAATGACCACAATATGACTTTCACAATGTGATGATAGTGTTGAATTAGTAATTCCAGTATTTGTCAACCAATTGAGGGCAGCAAGGTGCTTGCGATCAGGGCTCACTGAGACTAGTCTGCAGTCAAAATATCAACCCAATATAATAAGAAGTGATACCAGTTCAGAATGGCAGGTACTTTTATTCAGGACTGTATCAGGATTTCTAAGAAAATCCAACGCTTTTCTCAAAACATGGGTTCCAGGCAGGAAAATAGAAATAACTCCCACCCCGTTCAAGATATGACAAATATTTTTTTGTTTTGAAGGTCTAAATGAAAGTAAAATTTTGTCTGAATG